GCCCAGGGCAGGTGTGTGGAACTAGATGATCTTAAGGTCCTTTCCAACCCAAACCATTCTATGACTCTGTGATTCCATTATAAAATTTGTATAACTTAATCTGTCAATGAATCGTGCTGTGTGCTATTTGAAAAGAATGTATTTCAGGTGCTATACAGCAGTAAAAGCAAAGATCCTTTATTATTTTTCCAGGTTACTCTGTCACCCAGCTGGAGAACTGGAATGAAAGTAAATGTTCTTTCATGCAAACTGGCAGACCCTATAGAGGCTAGTCAGAGCTTGCTGGGGAAAGAGACTGGAAGTAAGAGATTATGCTATTAATAACAGGCAGGAAAAGACTTCCATCACTGTATTATTAAAGGTAGAATGCTTTCTAAGTAGAAGGAACACGCACTCTTAATACCTGTAAGTGGGCTTCTGTGTTCATCCTTTTCAGGTGATTGTACTTTAAAAAGTGTCCTGGGGCCTCAGCTAAAGCAAAGTTAGTTCCACTGAATTCAACCCCTTGCAAGGGGAGTGGAAGCTTCCTTCACTGTTAGAATATCTTTGAAAAATCAAAAATAACAAGTAGTATTAGACAGATGCATTGGACTTTGTGTTTTTAACTGCCTTGCTACTTACATGCTACTTCTGTGTCAGTTCAACAAATAAAGATCCACTTTCAAATACTGCCTGGGATTGTGGTGCATGTCGGTGAGTCCAAACTGGCAACTGCACAGGCTTGGAGCTGGCCCTGATGTTTCAAGGCTGCTTTTCTTTAGGACAGACTGAGTCTGATTAGAACAGAGTAATCAGTTACCAGGGGCCTCCAACAACGGATCAAGCTCAGACTATAAGCAGCAGAGAAGAAAGGGCTCTTCTTCACCAAGATAGCTGTTCCTAGCTGAACACGAAGAACCAGGTATGCATATTTTGCCTTTCTTCATGTATTTTTTCCTATTTGTAATCTTATTTCTGCCTTTAGCTTCCCCTGCAGCTGGTGTATTTGCTGCATTCACCAATCTTCACCACCTGCGCATTTCAGGAGTTGGCCTATTTCAAACAGTGGACGATACCTTGGCCCTTCTCTTGCAAAGCATGTTAGGCTGGAATACCTGGAGGAGCTCAGACCACCCCTGGTTCACTACTACCCATTAAAGCAATATGGTACAGAGAAAACTACTCCAGCAACAGTGAATTTGACAAGCAACCCATCAAGATTGCTCCCCCCACTTGTGTGAGTGGGAACAAGGGATGAAATGCACAGAACAGCGGTGCCAGCGTTGGGTCACTGCGTCTCTCCTGTTATAGCAATAAACAGCTTCAACATTTTCCAGACATAACAGCTGATATTCTGAAAGGAATGTTTCCAATCACTCTAATCCCAACTCAGCTCCTCTGCCCGTACACAGTGCCAAGGACCAAACTGGAAATGATGTTGCTGTTGCCACAGACAGTGACGTTTGACAGGTGAAGAAGCAGAAATGGTAAAGAAAGTGAATTTAATCCTTCCCCTTTCAGAATTACTCACCCTCACCTCCCAGCTCAGCCCAGCTCTTTTGGCCTGACTTTGCTTGGCCCAGCTCATTGAGTTGCAATGAACTAAGAGCACTGCTGACAGAGGCAGGTTTAAATCATGGGGTGTTTTGAGTCCTGTGAGCCAGGGGCTGGGGCTGTTCAGATGTAACCACTCCATGTTTCAGTTGGCCTCAGTTCCTCAGGCTTCCTTTGGACAAAACCTGAATCCTGTCAGCAGCACTCAGGCCTCATTGCACCAACAACTTCTGGAGTGCTTTAAGCCATCGGTGTGACTCAAACCACAGCGAACTGAAAGCACAGGTGCCTGGCACAGTGGACGCAGGCAGCCAGAAGCAAGTTGACAGCAAAATGTCTATTTTACTTCCCCAAAATATTCTGCTTTCTTTCCCCAGGTGATTCACAGCATCCTGGACCACACTGCTTGTCTTTGGGCTAATTTTCCCTGTAAGACTCTCCAAATGCGCTTCTAAAACCAAAACTTTCCTAGTGGTTATTAAGATTTCCTGGGCACAGTGGACGCAGGCAGCCAGAAGCAAGTTGACAGCAAAATGTCTATTTTACTTCCCCAAAATATTCTGCTTTCTTTCCCCAGGTGATTCACAGCATCCTGGACCACACTGCTTGTCTTTGGGCTAATTTTCCCTGTAAGACTCTCCAAATGCGCTTCTAAAACCAAAACTTTCCTAGTGGTTATTAAGATTTCCTGCCAAGACGTGGAAGCGTTTAACTTTGGTGTTTGGTACCTAAAATAACCCATCTGGTTTTGTTTGCAATTAGTCAGTTCTGTGCAGCCCTTCAAAATGGTAAGTTTTGAAGTTTGGGGGGGGAGGGATTTAATTATATTTTACAACAGAACTCTGCCACTCCTTTGAGTTGAAAGAGAACTCGCTGTCATGCAGCGGTGCGGAGCGTTCCATCAGCTGCAGTTTGGAAACAGGGGAAGTTACTCAGCGTGGCTTTTTAACAGCTGGCCTTGGTTAGAAACTCCAACTGCTGCCTTGTGTAAGGAACAGCAAGTGCTGCAGTTAGATTTCTATTAAAAATACATTTAAACCAGCTAAAGTAAAGACAAGTTCACTGGTGACCTTTACCAATGAGCTGCTTTAGTCTTCGTCTTTTCCATTACTTTACTTTTAGGAGCATATTTAAAGCTCAGTTTTGGGGGTAAAAAGGATAGATCTGGCAAGCATCTGGTACACTTCCTGCTGCATTACACCCCTTGGAGTGGGAGGGAAAGTGATCCTCCTTTAATTTGTATGTTTGAAAAATGCACGGAGGAATCGTGAAACTGAACTAAAAAGCAAACATCTTTTTATTGTAGAATGCCCAAGGAGAGAAATTCATTCCAAAGCTCTAATTCTTCATTCATGTTACAGGTACATCTTTGATTTTACACAGCACATGTGAGCTTTAACTGCTCCATCATGGTTTTAATGGTTTAATTTCTATTTTAAGGCAATACCTGGCTCAAAGCAGTAGCAGAACAGAAGAACACACAGTGATGGCTGACCCAGCTCCCCCCCCCAGCCCGCTGTCTCCATCAACAGTCCCAAGGTACAGTTGACACATGAACCATCCGCCCCAAGCTGAGTTGGGTTCCACACACACAGCCTCAGAGGAGGCCAAAGCCTCATGGAAATGGGGTTGGTCCAGTCAACTGCCTTTTGAGCTCATGGGTTGTGTGTCTTTGACATGTGAAAGTCCATCAGATGCTTGGCCCACACTGGTGTTTAATGCACAGGACAGGTTGTGCATCTCCTCGTTCTCTAGATATTCCCAAAGAGCCTCTTCCTATGCAGACAGGGTCTCAGCCATGGTCCCACTTAGGATCTCCGTGTCTGCTGTGCCACCTTAAACCGCATGGATAGGACATCTTTTATCCCAGCCTCTATCTCATCGTTGGCCTGCACAGACCCAACTCCTTTGGGAGACCCCGTGAGAATCAAGTCCCCTTCTTCCAAGGTGACTATTTCACTGATGTAGCTGATCAGATAAGGGATGGAGAAGATCATGGAGGAGGTGTCCCCTTCCTGCCTCAGCTGCCCATTCACCTTGAGCCAGATCTTCAGCTTGTGAGGGTCTGGGATCTTCTCCTTGGGCACAAAGTCGCTCACTGGGCACGATGAACTGAAGCCCTTGGCCAAGGTCCAGGGCAGACCCTTCTTCTTGCACTCCTGCTGCGTGTCCCTGGCTGTCATGTCCAAGCAGAGGCCATAACCCGCCACGTGCTCCATGGCAGCCTCCTGGGGCACGGCCTGGGCTCTCTTCCCGATCACCACCCCCAGCTCCACTTCGTGGTGCAGGTTGCTGCAGTAGTACGGCCGCAGGATGGGCGACCCTTC